GGTATTGTGTTCTCTATTGTACACGTGATTGGTAACCATGGCACTCACCTATATATCCAATGAATGACTGACTGAGTAATAATGTATGTAAAAGATCTGTTTACATGATTGCCACATGGCTCTGTCTATAAGTATTCATTTTTCCCCCTGTTTTAAATGTCTCTGTTTCTCCAGGCTTTAGTACCAATACATACACAACGCTACTACACACGAAACCTTCCAAGTCTGAGTAGCTGTAAACACACACTCTGATACTCGTGCTGTTTTTTTCCTGTAAAATAAAGCCGATGTCGCACTACGGTACTGAGATAATCAGGGACATTGAAAACACTGTAAAATCACTGTAAACATCATATTGTAAACAATCTATACAGGCAAGCTTGTTTCCATATATGTTATTGATGTTACGATTTTTTAAACTGCAGCACAGCTTTGATTCCAGCACAAGATGAATGGTTATAATATTATAATATATACTGTATTTATGAAATAGGTATAGCAAGAAAAGTTTTTTTTGTAACTAAAAAAATATGAAGAACCACGATCATGACACTAATAAATCAGTCAACCCAAAGCCATTCCTTTGTATGTGCACTACACAGGAAATACTGTAAGACATAAGGAAGGAAGATTCATGTTTACTGCAACATGAATCTTTTGAGTGGACAGTTGGCTGACTTAGATGGATGCAGTTCACTTCATTTTAGAGCTCAGAAAGGATTTATTGAATGTATGGCTATGGAAATGGTTTAAACAATGTAAAGAATAAACAAATCAATAAAACTCCCCTCTTTATGTTGTCGAACTGCCGTCTGGTCTCTTTTGTTTCAGCTCTTTTTGGGTGACAGCAACTGCAGTTGTTCACTTTTTAATGAGGCTGATGGATGGGAGCAAATGGGTAAGGCTAAAGCCTTTATTAGGTTTTCATTAAAAGCTCAAAATAGCCCCTCTATTTTGAGCTTTTTACATTTTTACAGGGATGATTTGGAAAGCATTTGATGTTTGCAAGGAAATGGAGAAACAGTCCCTAAAAATAGGCCCGATGGCGAGATGCCACAGTGGATTAGAGGGGAAACATTCAGCAGAAGTTTTGCATTAATGCCTCAAATCTGTTAACAAAGTCATTTTATTTATGGTTTCTTTATTTCCTCATGAGCAAAAGAATTTCGCTTTATGATGTCAGCTCATCTAACAGCATATAGTTTCAGGTTTTCAGTGCTCACAGCTGTTGCCATAAGGTGTTGGTTACGGATGGTTGGAGAAGTTACCGCCTATAATTATAGCAAACACCCATCCGTGAAATGGTCATATAACAATCACTACTGCAAATTCTGACTTACCAAACCAAGTTTGATGTTCTGGTACAAGCACCTGCCTGTTTGATTATTGTATAAGAAAATGATGTTTGCATTTTAAACATTTTACAGCTCAAATTAGATGAGAATATAAAATTCTGATGTAGATTTCTATTCTGTTTGAGTACAGCAACGCTGTGCATCTCTCTGACTTGGTAACATTTTAGCCTTCTCTTTTTTTTTATAGAAACAGCTCATTTCTGCATAAACTTAAACTTATGTTATAGTTTATGAATTTATCGGTAAAAAGCAAAAACAATTAAAAAAAATTGGAAGTAAGATCACTGCAGGAGCTTCTCGATCTTGTATGCCAGCAGTATAGCAAAGTTCAAACGAGTAAGAAAAAAGAGGTTTTATAAATCAGGATAATAAAAAAGTGGATCTCCAACAAATCAATGTTTCATTCAAAAGAAAATTATTTTGTTACATTCAGAATTTTTTTGTAAATATTTTATTAATGTTAAGGTTGGTTACAGTGCACATCATCTCTAAATTGTGTTGGCATGGACTCAATTTCTGATGTCAGTTTGACTCTTCTAATCACTTTGTTGGGTACACATATAGTTTTTTCCCCCTTGCACATTAATGCATAGTGCAGTGGATTCATGCAATTTTAGCAGCTCCAAACTGAGGTCTAATCAGGCAGAATAAGTGAAAACAGATGTGTGGGTGTGACTGACCTTTAACAAACAGCAATGAGAACTCACAAGTAAGAAACAGTGAGCTTGTGTTCTCATGGATTTGTTCACTTAACCACTTCATTTTGACTGCTCATCTGGTGAGGAGTGACACATTAATAATGCTCAGTGTGCCCATATAACGCCTGGCAGATAAGTAATTTCTAAAATACTCATTAACTGAAACCGGCACAAATGACTACGTCACATTCATCTTTATTCCCCATCCTGATGCTCAGATTGAAAGATCTGTTTGTCTCTCCCTCTCCTGTGTGTGCCTGTACGGAGGTGGGTGTGGTCCAGAGAGG